CCCCCCAGCCATTCCAGGGCATTAGCAGGCACTGTGCTGCACATTCGCTGCATTGCCTCTCCCCTCCGCGTCCGACACACCTGCCCCTCCTCCTGGACCTCCTGTTCCCTGTGGATTTATGGCATGTTTCAGAAAAAAGGCCGTTTCCTGCCAACTGCGCCTAGGAAAGCTGCTCAACACTATTTTTCTGGCTTGAGAAATGTGTTTCTCTAGCCCCTTTCAGGCTTCTTTACTGTGGTGCCTTAGAACTTGGCTGCAAGCTGTGAAGCCATCCTGGCCTGTTGCCAGGGAGGGAATTGCCTTAGGAGACTCCTGGTAGAGACCAGCACTTCTGGAACTGCTTCTCCCAGACTGACCGCTCTGCCCAGAAGGCTGGGGAAATCAGGCACCCAGCAAAAGACCCCACCAGGACAGTGTGCGTGTTCATATGTTTGTTTTCCAGAACTGCCTGTTGAGATTTTGGCCTCTGGTGTGTGCCTGGGGAGGGAGTGAAAGACCCCAGGAACCGGGCAGTTCTCCTAAACATCTTGTCTCTGGGGAAGCACGTATGAATTTTTCCCTTTTCCATGCCCCCCTCCCCTTTTTTTTTTCTTTCTCTGTCTCTGAATACCTCTGAAAGCCTGTCCAGAAACGCTAAGATTGAGCTCTGCTTGCCCCTCCTGATGATGGTGGTCAAGGCAGGCCACAAATGAGCCACTTGAACATCTTCAGAAGCTGAGCCTGCCCAGTGAGTCTGCCTGCCCAAGGCCCTTAATCCAGATGCGAGGATTTGAACCTGAATATGTGGAACTGCACTGGCTGCAAAATACCCAAGGCTGCTGCAGCCCTTGGCCTGTGGAGATGAGGTGACCAAAGTGCTGAAGGTGCTCTTCAGAAATCTGAAAAATCCCACTTGAGGTTTGAAATAGCTCCAGCTTCATGTGTGCATGCTGATAAAGGGGCATGTACCCAAGGCTTTTGCAAGGATGGACTTGCTGGTGAACAGGAAAGTACTGGATATTGTCCCATTCTCCTGGGAGTGGCAGCTACAAAACTAATACTTCAGTTGCCATTACCTCATCCTTCCCTGCAGGCTGGGTGAGCTACTCCCTTTGAAGGTCCCTTGGTGCAGCTGCGGCTGCAGCACCTGAGCTGATTCTTCAAGCAGAAACTGTCTTTGGGGTCATGCCCTGCTTTTGGGGAGAAGATAGAGGTAAGAGTCAGCAGAGGCGTCGTCTTCCAGCGCTCAGCCCCTGTCGTGGGGGAGGAGAGAAATGAGAAATAAGCTGCTGCTGCAGTAGCACATGGGGTTGGCAGAACCGAACAAAAAACTGGCTCAAGTCCTGCTCTTCCACAAGGTTCCACAAACCTTGTGGTTTAACTGGATTTTGTGTGTTCCTTTGCTGCCCCCCACCCCGTTCTGTATGGAATGGGGAGGAATGGGAGGTGTTACGTATTAGCTGTTACTTTGATTTCTTCCCCCATTCTGTATTGAGTGGGGGGGGAATGGGTGTTACATCTTAGCTGTTACTTTGATTTCTTTCCCCATTCTGTATTGAATGGTGGGAAATGGGTGTTATGTCTTAGCTGTTACTTTGATTTCTTCCCCCTACCCATGAATTTAAAGTACTGTGTAAAATGACATGGGATCAGCCATCACCTGACAACAGGGGTGTGTGTGAGAGGGGTGTTTTTAGTTTGTATAGGGGTGTTTTAGCAATGCTGAGGACTCCTTGTGTTGTGAGTCAGGAGGGAGCCTCGCTAACTGGGTCCAGTGGACTCAGGATTATTATAGGACTTGCCCTGTCTTTCCCCCTCCCAGGTTTGCGAGGGGGAGAGTCCTGGGTGATGTGTAGGTGGGGTTTATGAACTGTGATTTGCACAGACAGCTCCATGTTCTAACTAAATTAAAAGCAATAAACATGCTATGGAAACAACTGTGCGCTATCTTTGTGGTATATAGGGCAGGAAGAAGTTGTTGCTTTCTTGGGGTTTCTAGTCCTGTCACAGAACAGTAACATCATAACTAGAGAGATCAGATATGATCTAAGAACTCACTTTTTAAAAGCCCTGTGGCTGCTACTTTTACCGGACTGCACAGCAGCTTTGTAGCACAGAGACCATGCAAATGCTCTGCAGCAGTCTTTATCGGGAGTGAGGGAAAGGGAAGAAGCTGTTAAGAAAACCAAAATTAAGAGCAGGCTTCAGCCTCTTTCCTGGGGCCTAGCTGTGCACCCATTCTGAAGCAGGGAGGAGAATACAGCCCATTTTTTAGTAACTGCACTCTCCATAGATGGAGTTAAAGTGCATTTGTTAATGCCAGGACTGAAGGAAGAAGCTGGCTACCTCAGTGCCTCCTGTAACCCGCTGTGCTCCATGTCCCTACAGCCCTGGTGAAGCAGAGCTGCTTCAGAGGCACCAAAGCGGCGCGGGGCCGTAACTGACCCCTATTCCCCGGGGCTGCCTGCTTGTCCGCCCGGCTCGCAGGGCTGCATCCCTACTGCTGCTTTCCAGGAATGGTGTCCCAGGCCTAAGGCAGCTGCTGCCTGCAGGGGCACAAGCCCCCTGTCCCCGTGTCTGTGCTGCTGCGTGGAGGTCCTGCTGCTTGTAGGGATTTACCTGTGCCAGGCAAACTGAAGTAGCGTCTTCCCCGCTCTTTGGAGTTGGCACCAAGCAAAAGGGTGGTGCTCTGCAGGCAGGAACGCACAGATGAGCCACAGCCCACGCAGGTGTCCACACAGCGTTTTTCTTCTAAGCTTTAATACCAGGTCGCATAATCTGCACCTTCTCATTATGAGGTATTTAAAACATTTTACAAAGAAATGGTATTCAAAGGCATTTAAAAATAAAATGTTTCCCTTTTCTGAATCAAACACACTAAAATCCCTACTGCCAAGTGCTGTTCCCTGTTATTCCCTCAGCTATGCAGCAAAGGGCTAAAAAATTCACTTGAATGGCTTGAATCCCCTGAACTGGGGATGGATGTTTCCCTGAACTGGCCTTGCCACAGTGCTGGGTGGGAGACACTGCAGCAGCCATCCCTTCCAAACTCCCTGAAACAGTTGCTGATAAAAGTTGTTACAAAACTGCTGTAAGGGGGCCAGGCTCTGCAAGAGAGTCTTGCTGCACAAGCAGAGTGTGTGTGAAGGAGGCTGGGCCAGAAACCCTTTGGAAACTTGCAAAAGTAGCTGCCCTTCCTGCCCTTGTCATGGGAGCTACTGTGTCCTGGTCACCCCTACAGCTGGCCTAGCCTCTAGGTCCAGAGCTGGTCCTGGAGGAAGTCAAGGGAATTTGGAAGCTCCTCTCAGTGCTCGGTGTTACTCCAGGTAACTGAAGGGCAGGTTATTTTTCTTCACAAGTATCTACTGCTGTCTTCTGCTTTCCTGATTTGTGTAAGTGAACATGAGGCAGGGACTGCCTGGACACCTACAACTCTGGCTGTGCGTGTAGCACCACAGGGGAATAGAGATGTGGCCTCAGCCTTGGAAGACCTGGATTTGTCAGCAGCTTGAGAAGAGCTTTTCCAAATTGATGCTGGGCTAAACCTACTGCTCCTGGCCAGA